ATGATCGCTGGTAGTTCACTAGGCGAGTGCGCAGCGAACGGTCCCAGACTTGGGACAAAATGGTTTTAATTTCCCTCGCTGGCAGCGAAGGGAGTAGCGAGGAGCTCGCTGGAGGTTCGCTGTGGCGAACGGTGTAGCGAACGAAGTATGTAGCCTCTGTGCTGGCTCGCTAGCAGTTCGCTAGGCGAGGAGGTAGCGAACGTAGCAGGATGGATTTTCCCTGTTGCGGGGTGCTGTCGTGGCTTGGGGTTTCGGTTGCGATCGACCCTTCTTTGATTTAGTAGTTATATGCTGGGTTGTGTTGTGCTGTGGGTAGCCGTATGGCGTGAATCCTAGATTATGAATTGTGGCCGCTTGGGCAATTATGTGCATTGTTTAGCCTAATTAAAAATCTATGATGTTGTATGAATATATGCGATGAATGTGTAGAATGCATGAGTATGTTTGTAAACATGTGTGCATTTTCAAGAGTGTCATGAGTCATGTTGCATGTGAAGCATCATGGTATGCATTCTTGTGTCGATTGATTCCTCGGTGAATCTGCAGAACCTCGTGTGCCCTTGTGGGGTGTGAGCGATGGTTAATTATTGATTCCTCGGTGAATCTGCAGAACCTCGTGTGCCCTTGTGGGGTGTGAGCGATGGTTAATTATTGATCCCTCGGTGGATTTGCAGAACCTCGTATATTACGATGGTTATTTTGATTCCGCGTAGAATCTGCAGAACCTCGTGTGCCCATGTGGGGTGTGAGCGATGGTTATTTGGTTCTTCAATTGAACCTGCTGAAATGAGTCGGTACCGCATTTGCATCTGCATAGAGTCGTGTGTCGGTCTCTATGAGTTGCATGTTGACATCCTGCATGGTGTATGGTGAATGGACATAATTGTAAATGTTTATATGAATTGTTGATGATTGGCATGATTGGTATGCTTGAAGACACATGTATGTGTGAATGTATGAATATGCATGTTTTGTGTGTTTATGAACCGATATAAACGTTGTTGACGCATATTGTATATGCATGATGTTCTATTTGTAAATAGATAATGTGAACACATTGCGATGTACGGTATGACGAGGTGAGTTGCGGTGAGAATGCGAAAGACGTATATTGGGTATTATGTATATATATGTTTTTATGCATTGTTTTTATGATATCGTTTCTCACCCTTCTGTGGTTTCTTTTAATGCCCTACGAGGCATTGCAGATTAGATCGCTGGAAGTATTTTTGTGAAGCGTGGCTTCTTCCCTTTTGGTCGGTCGGCTCTGATATGTAGCACCGGGTAGAATAGGATTTATTTTGATTCTTTTGTGATACATCTGAGTATGTATCTGCTGTTGATATGTTTTGTAAAACATGATGAATGATAACTGTATATGTGAATACATGTTTGGTGAATTATGAAATATTTGGATATTTCCGCCTTTGTTCTAAATATTTCTTGTGGGTGTTATTCCGTTGTTGCATATCTGTTGAGCAGGTGTTGTATGTGTTGGAATATTTATGATAATGTGATATTCCCCTTTTATGCCATGTTGCAAATGTACTCTGATGAAATTTTAAATTTATGCCTAAATGATTAATTGTATTATTTGGGGGCATAGAAAGGGGGTGTTACATACGCTCGGGCCTTGGAGGGTGGTTGGCCGGTGGATTGCCATGACCTCGACAAACTTGGAGCCGCGGCGCAGCCCTTTCTCCATAAGGTATCGCTTCATGTCGTCGGAAGTAGTTAGTTAGACTGCCTCCGTGGTGAATCTCTCGATATAATTCCTAAGAGACTCGTCCCTGGCTTGGATGATCGCGCCCAGGGCTGCTTCTGTCTTCGGATGGCGCCAATATGTTGTGAAGTGTTGTGAGAAAAGATCTTTCAGCACCCTCCATGAGGTGATGGATTCGGGCTACAGGCTCTTGTACCATGTCATGGCTCCCCTTTCTCGAAGTTGTCGGGAAGAGCCTGCATTTGATGGCTCCTCGGACGTTCCGGTAGTCAAGCATGGCTTCGATGTTCTCCAGATGGTCGTCTGGGTCCATCGTGCCATCATAGGTGGAAAGGGCAGGCAACTTCTCCATCCCGTGGGGGATGAGAGTCTCCATGATGTCCCGTGACAAGGGAGTCCGGTGATTGTCCTCGTCACTTCGGACAGGGGAGCGCGAGGGGGAAGGATTGCGTCGAGTGGACTGACCGCGACCCTTCATCCTCTTGCTCGGACCGTCAGGTCTGCTCTTCCTCGGGGTCGGGGAGGTGTACTCTCGCGCTTCTTGGAGGCCACGGTTTAGGACCTCTCGAGTTTTGGTTGGCGCCTCTATTGACGGGGAGAGGGGCTCTGGGAATCCTCGCGTTGGGATCTCCGCGGGGGAGATGTCGGTCGTGTCTTGCGCAGTATTGGAGAAAGGCTCCAGGCAGGACGGCGGTGTCTCCACGGAGGAAAGCGAGATGGACGGTCCTGTTCTAGCATCCTAATATGCTCGTTCTGCTGGAACAACATCAAGTTGGTCTGGTTAATGGCCACGAAGATGGCCGTCATCGTCGGATCCGCACCTGTTGGTGTGGGGACGGGCTGGAAGGCAGCTGGGCTTCTTGCTCGTGGGGCGAATTTGAAGATCGCATCGTCAGATGAAAGAGAGGTTGTCCACCCATCCCTAATATCGTCGTCCTGGTCGTTGACGGGCACACCATGATCGTCACCGTTGGTGAGCTGGTCGAAGGCGGAGTCGTGGACAACATCGTCGTGGTGTGGGTTGGCCGTGATCACAGAAGTTGATGAAAGCTTTGGTTCTATTGCTCGGAAGAACGAAGAAGCTTTAGTTTCCCACATATGGCGCTACTGATCTCATATGATCAGAAGGAGTCACTGGACGGCCACACATCTGAGATGTCTGACTGCTGGGGAGAATGAGGGGTGTATCTGAAACACACTCCGACGCCAGAGTAAGAGTCGGGCAGAGTGATAACAAGTACAGAAATAGAAGTAAGAATGAGATTATCTGACCCTCTAGTGAAATAAGGTATTTGTAGTGTGCCCCCAGCGCAGGGCCAACAGTTACTTCCCGTTGGGTTGGGTTTCCAGGCCCAATGCTGGTAACTGCTAGGGCTGACGTGGCGTCAGGAAGACCAGCACGTGGTCTTCGCCCTAGTGTAACTGCTCTGTGTTATCCGGGAGGTAGAGGACCGAATAATCAGGGCACAGGCAGTTACTTGATGACATGTCTTCGCGTAGGGGACACATTGCGAAGGTGAGGGAGGTTAGAGGAGCCCTCCGAGCTGAATAGGGTCTGCCCGACGGTTGGGTAGAAGGGATAGCGTGTCTGACAGATTGAGGTGTCTGCTCGACTACCAAGAGGTTCGTATCCGACGGGAGAAAGGACTCTGCCCGACAAAGAGGCAGATTAGGTCTTATTAGAACTTCCAACCCGATGTGGAATTGGGCCTGCTCGACTGTGGATCAAGTGTCGGCCCAACCCAGAACACAAATCATATTAAAATCAAAGTTAAACATTAAACTCATATATTAATAGAGAAAAAAATATTTTTAATATAGTAAAAATATTGTACTAAATCAATATATTTTAAATATTTTTTAAAATGTAAAATCATTAAATTATTATAATACATTTTATTTAATATTTTATTTTCAATTGATAATAAAATTAACTCAATATTATTTTTATTATTAAAAAAACATAATGCCACAATTTAAAAACAAACTTAGATATTAAAGAATACACATAGTAATCCATATTTTTGGTTTTTAAATTAGTAAATCAAATAATACACATAGTAAATAATTGTTGTTATTATATATTTTAGATAAGTGTTATTATTCAATTAAAAAATAATAATAATTTAAAAAGATTTAGAAAAAAAAGTCAATTAGTTAATCTCATATTAATATTTGATTTATTTCAAACAAAATAAAATGTCATTATCTTAATTATGACACACACTGAAATGTAGGCATCAAAGTAGATCACTCATTAATAGACTTTTGTTAGTGTCATCAAGTAGACGTGTGTATTAAATTAAACTATAAACTATAGTATATAAATACTCCTATAGAAATGGAATACCAAGATCTGAAGCAACCCAAAAAAACAATACTTGACCTTGTATGTTTTTTTAATTTTATTTTTATGTTGTAGTTTGAAGTTTCTTTGTTATTTTTACCAGACACATAGTAAGTTGTTATGGTGAAAGACAAGAAAGTAACATGATTCATTTACATGTGTCTTGTCCTCCACATATAACTCGTTCTTCACGCGGAAATTAATACCGCGTATAACTAATTGTTTTTTTATTCGATTAATAAGTTTCTAGATTTAAATTAGTTTTATTAAATTCATTTTAATTATAAGTTATTATAAATATTTAATTGAAATGTACCAATAATATAAATTTTTTTTACACATTGAATATAAAATAAAAAATTAATTTTTATTTTAATAACTTTTAAAATAATATAAATGGATGGTGGTGATAAATTAAAAGGGGTGTATGTATTAATTAATTCCATTTAATTAACATAAACAAGGAAATATCACCGTTTTGTTTGATTTTAGGTTAGTTCAGATAAAAGCCGATACCGGAAACAGTTGAGGCGGTTTTGATTTGGTTTAATTCAGTTTAGAATCAATTTAAAAAAAATTTATTATAAAAAGTAAAATATTTTCAATAATTTAATAATTATAATAAATTCTGTTACCTACTCATAGAAAAAAGGTTTCTTCTGCATGTATTTGTTTGTCACGTATATTTCGTCGAAACTTCAGTCACATTTAAAATTAAAATAAATAAATAAATTATTTAATACTCTTTCTTCATTAGCAAGATCGATTTCTTCTTCTTCTTCTTTTCCCAAAAATTCTTCTTCTCATATTATTCTGTTTCATCACCTCCAAAAACGAATCTAAACCTATTTTCTTCTTCCTATTCCATTCAAAATAATCACTTATTTAATAATCGATTAAAATAAATTCGCCAATCCTACTTCTCAGAGCATGTTGCACAGAAGCTTCAAGCCTGCCAAGTGGTACGTTTTTTCTCCGATTTCGATTCAATTTAACGTTTTTTATTATAACCTAACGCCTATTAATCAATTTTGTTGTTTTGATTTTGATTTGGCTTTGTTTGATGCAGCAAAACGGCATTGAAGCTCGCTGTTTCGAGGATTAAGTTGTTGAGGAATAAGAGAGAAGCGCAAGTGAAGCAACTCAAGAGAGAATTGGCTAAATTGCTTGAGAATGGTCAAGATCAGACTGCTAGAATTAGGGTATAAACAGTTCTAATTTAACAGTTTTTTTTTTCATTACTTTTGTGTTAATTGATTTTTAGGTTTGTGTTGTTCTTATCTTAGGTGATATCTTAGTGCATGTTTGCATTTGATTTTGGAGAGATAAAAGTGATTCTTAATAATTAAAATTGATTTTAGTATGCTCGAGTGTTTTCTTATAAAATTGATTTTGCTTGTAGAATAGATTCAAGTGTGTGTTTGGTTGAGCGCTAACAAAAATAATTGATTTTGAGTGAATTGATTCTGCGGTGAAAAAAATTGATTTTGAATGAATTGATTATGTAAAATTGATTTTACTTAAAAGTGAGTTGAATGTAAAGTGATTTATGTTTGGATAACTTTATGCAAAATTGAGTTGAACAATAAATTTCAATGTAAAAATCAAGTTTAAACTTAAAAGTTACAAATTCTAGCTTCAAGTAGAATCAATTCTGAAGGCAAAATCAATTCTACTTTAGAAGAACCAAACACCTCAAAATTTTTCCAAAATCAATTATCACGTCTAGAATTGCTTTTGGCTATTCCAAAAGCTAAACCAAACATACACAAAGGGATTTATGATTAGATGTCTTCATGTAACAATGAATTGAGCCATAAATTTGAGTGTGGAATTCAAATCTAGAATCAAGCTTCAATTTCTAGTTTCAATTTCAAATTAGAATCAATTACAAAGGGAAAAATCAATTATATTAGAAAACAACCTCACACATCAAAATCAATTTCAATTGTGTTTTTTACATTGAAATTTATTTGTTCAACTGAATTTCACCCGAACATATTCAAACATAAATCATTTATCTTGAACTCACTTTTAACTAAAATTACTTTTGCAAAATCAATTCAATTTAGCAAAATCACTTTTATCTTTGTGTTGATGAAGAATGAACTAACTTTTTTGTTTGACTTTTTGTGCGTTTTGTGTTTAGGTTGAACATGTTGTCAGGGAGGAGAAGACCATGGCAGCATATGAGCTTGTTGAGATATACTGTGAACTTATGGCAGCTCGTTTGCCTATGATTGAATCACAAAAGTATTTTCAAACTCTCATACTTTGTTTTCTTTCTATTTTTAGTATTGTATGTTACTTGCATTACTAGCTACTAAGTTAATGTCACTGAACATGTCATCTCTACGTTGTTTCCGGTGTGTTTTTTGCTGCATCGATGTATAACTCAATGTTTTTTCATGTCTGAGACTGTATTGTGACTGTATCATCTGTTTGCATTACTTAAATAATTTATAAATAACAAATAAATAATATAAATTTCAATAATTCTGTAATTTCTAAAAAAAATAATTTCTGATATGTAGTGGACCTCCTAGTTTAATCGGATTTGAAACACTTTCTAACAAAAAAAAATATGGGGTACTAAATACAGCGATGGAAGAAGGCGAATCATGACTACGATTTAAAACCTTAGTATAGTTATCAATGATTTTAGGGGGAATATCATTTTTTTTTTGTAGATTGATGTGTCGAGAGGTTTATATTCTGTAGTTTTGGTAGAACCACTGAATTTGCATTTATTTTATTATTTTATTAAGACATGTCAACCAAATGTTTGTCACTTTGGGATTCCTAATGATTTTATGCACGAGTTACTGTTTTTTGGCACTTCGCTGTTAAAATCATGTTTAAATTGCTATTCTTTTATTTGTGTAAATATGTACAATGCCTGAACTTTATAGGTTACATCTTTATTGTATCTTCTGCTTTGACTTTACTTGTGTGTATCTAAAGGAATAGAGGCATTTGGATTTTTCTTTTTGAAATGATTGATCTTGCAGTCTATTAGTTTGTTCATAATGATTGTGTATTTTCACTGTATTAATCTCATTTTTGTATTTTGCCCCCTAAATACTTTCAGAAATTGCCCCATCGATTTGAAGGAAGCAGTTTCTAGTGTAATATTTGCAACTCCAAGATGTTCAGACATACCTGAGCTCGCGGATGTGAAGAAGCATATGGCATCAAAGTATGGAAAAGAATTTGTCTCTGCTGCTGTTGAATTGCGCCCTGATTGTGGTGTAAATCGCTTGGCAAGTTTCTTTACCTACTTGATGTTAAAATAGGATCATGTCGAAGATCATTTTGTGCCTGTTTTTTTCTAATTTAGTGTTGTCTTTTCAGTTGGTTGAGAAATTGTCTGCTAAAGCCCCTGATGGTCCAACCAAGATAAAAATACTGACTGCAATAGCTGAGGAGCATAATATCAAATGGGAGCCCAAGTCATTTGGAGACAATGATACAAAGGCCTCACAGGACTTACTGGTAGGCTTTGTTTATTCTATATTTTCTATAGTTTCTTTTGATTAAAAAAATTGTTACTGTAGTTTATTTTTTGCACTATTCTTATGTTAAGGTTGGGCCAAGTACTCCTGAGAAGTCTGCTTATGTGGAACCTTTTCAAGTCCATGTTCCACCACCTGTTCATGATGAAAAGGGTCCTCCGAATTCTGGTGGTCCTTCACAACTTACTCCAATGCATGACACATACACAAATTCATATGAGCAGAGTGCAAACGCGGCTGCTAGAAAGGCTAGTGGCAATAACTCCACAACATCAGACATGCCTAACATAGAAATCAAATCTTCAGGTATTTTTTTGAAAGAAAGTCATTTATAATTGAATTTCTAGGCTTCTGTTCTTCTGCCCATTACATGAATATTTGGGATTCTTTTTCGCAGGGGATGGAAGTCAAAAAATGGATATTAGAGATTCATATTCTGAAAACAGGAGTTCTGTTCCTACTGGTAGACAGAATTGGAACATGGAATTCAAGGACGCTGCCTCTGCTGCACAGGCTGCTGCAGAATCTGCTGATCGTGCAACCATGGCTGCAAAAGCAGCTGCAGAGTTTTCAAATCGTGAAAATATAAATAGGCAGTACTCAAGTGGATTACATAGCTCTCCTCGCAGGGGGTCAAGAGGGGAAGCACCTAACGCCTATGCTTTTCATGATGACAAATATCTTTCTTCCGGTTCTGTTAATAGTACCATGCCTAAAAACAGTTCTGGGATGCACAACGAACAAGATAATCTGTTTGGAATGGGCAATGAAGATTACAGGAATATTAATCAGAATGTGGTGAAACATGCCCAGACAGCTTCAATTATAGGTGGTGGTGTTGGTGATGATAAACCATTTACCCATGGTTCTCAAATAGCTGATACATATCACCACAATAACTCATTTAAGCAAGAGAGTAATGACTTATATGAGACAAGTATAACAAAACAAGCAAGCAGAGCTAATGAAGATTTTGGGACTGAACATCATTCTGATGATGATATGTATACTGAAAACAACTACGACTTTGTACATGCAAAGACAGATATACAATCTGGACATTCTTCCTCTTCTCATCTCTTTATTCCAAGTGATGATCACAATGATAATTTGAACTCAGGTGACTGGACGATAGGGAACAAGGCTGCACAAGACCTTTTTAGTACTGAAGTAAACACACCAACAAACACCATGAAACTAAGTTCTTTTAATGATACCTCTGTTGTATTTGATGATTCGGAATCTGACAACGATGATTATAACTTCGATGCTGATAAAAAATACAATGGCAGTGGATCTGGGTTGTTCTCATCTCCTAGTAGCAAATACCAAGTTGATCCATTAGAAAATACAAATTCTTGGAGCCATGGACAAAACACTAGTGTAAAAGAGACCAATTCTGGTACACAATCACTTTTTTCTGAAAAATTGATGATGTCAGAAGTTTCTTTCGAAAACGAGGACCCTTTGCCTGCCACTTTTGATGATTCAGATGACCCAGGTTCAGATATTGAGACAGATCTCGTTAAGTCTAGAGTTTCTAGGGCCTTCGATGAAGAAAATTCTGTCCTTGATCAGATTGCAAACCATGGGACTCTAGGATCCTCCTCAGGAAAGGTTAAGAATCTCGATACTGACAGAAGTCCCCGGTCGTCGCCATCTTCAGTTGGTTCAGATCATGTGGAAGAGCATTCATTGAAAAAGGTAGATGCCACTAATATGTCCAGAAAAAATTATGGTTATGATGACTCGCCAACTAGTGAGCTATCTTCAACAGAAAGAAACTCTACATTGGGTTTGGGTTCCAAGGAAGATATCTATTCACCGCAGCCACCTAATAATTTTGATGATACTGAAACTTTGGAGAATTCTCATATAGAAAGTGGTACAGAATTAAACTATGGAACATTGAAGGGTGGTTTTCGCAATAAAGGGTTTACTCGGCTACCGTATATTAAGAAGACATCAGATGATGTTTCAGCTTCAATGGGAGACATTTCAAGCCAGAATAGAAGATTGCCTACAGTAAGGACTTCAACCAGTTTTGATGCTCCTGTTCAAGACAAATATACAACCGAAAACAGAGGAAATAGAAATGCGGGCTCAAAAGCACACAACAGATCTTCTGATTCTGGTAGTTATGATCTGGCTACAGACTCACAAGAGATGACCAGGACTCATACACCTCGCATTCAGAATGAGCAAAGTGAAGCAAAAAAGAAATCAAGCTCAAGAACCCCAATTCCCTACTTCGATTCCGATGATAGTGAATCTGAGGCTGAACGTCATAAACAGAATGTAGCTAATGTTGCTCGTCCTGTTAGTAGAGTATCTCGAAGAACATCAGCCTCTCCAAAAACTGGTACAGGTTTAAGTTCTAACCACGCTCCTTTATCTGAGGCTCCTGTGACTCCTGGTTCAAGGCTTGGATGGAAATCTTCAAGGGTTTCTGATGAGAGCTCTGAAAGTCGGGGAGGATCTAAGCCTGGATTAGCAGATAGTGAAGCTTCAAAACCAATTTCACAACCAAATAGATCCTTGGAGGAGGAAGTTGTGAATTCATCTTCAAAGGTGCAACCTTCTCTTCCTAGTACAGATGTACAAGATAGTGACACTCCATCTAAGCAGAAAGTAGACCACGTTCATCCAAAGTTACCTGATTATGACTCCTTTGCTGCCCATTTCATGTCTCTTAAGAAAGGCCGTCCTTGAATTTCATTTGCTTTCATCTAGCAACATAATTCCTCGAACATGGTTTATATTGGTTGATTTTTTTATAGCCTGTATTATTACACATAGATATGTGATTGATTTAAGATCAAAGTAGTTGAGGAATAAAGATGTTGCATGTATTTTGTGTACGTGTAAATTGAGTTAGAGTATAGGTTTATCTTATTTTTGTACATCTCTATTTCCGGAATACGATAAATGGTTGAATATTTGATAGCTTTTTATGTTCATCCATCTACTTCATACGTAATTAGTTATATCATTGTCTTTGGTACGTTGCAAGTTGCTCGAAGTGAAGGAGAAATTAAAAACATAGAATACAATTTGAGAGCATTACGAAGTTTGTCAGAATAGAAATGCGTTGTTAGCTGAGAAATAAAATGCACAGAAAAGAGAATGCAAATAGGAGATTAAAGATTAAACCTGGTAAGATTTGAAACTGATGCAGCAAAGAAACATGGTTGTAATTTGTTACTGAAACAACCCCTAAAATAAAAAACTTAAGTTGTGTTTCAAAGATTAGAAGGGTTAAATAGTAAACTCATTTCTTTATTTTGTTCTTATAATATATAAATAGTAGATTATAACCTACTTCTTTCTGCACTTTTCTATAACAATATTTTCAAGTTATAATTTAAATTTCTTTTTCCAAATTGGTCAAAGAGTATACGTTGGCTTCTAGCACAGTATGAGAATTTGGAAGAAATATGCAGCTAGTCAGGAGCTATGATTTCTTCTTCCTTTTTATAAAACTAACGGATACTCGACATTCGGATGGATATTCGTCGATGACATGTATATTAAAATAAAAATACAATTAATAAAAATCTATAAATATAAATAAAGATGAAGTCAATACAAGTGTATTTATTTTTTAGAAAAAAAACAAAAAAGAAGACAATTATTTTATCAAAAATAGTTTTATTTAAAAAAATATATTTTATTTACATTTAAAGCATAAATATAATTTTTTCATATATATTAATATTTGGATCAACCGTATATATTCTGATACGTGAATATTAAATTAATTTTGATATTTTTTATAAAAATATTTATGCAATAATTTAGTTTTATTAATATTAAATAATAAAATAGTATTTATAAATATTATTTTAATGTATAAATAAATACTACTGTTAAGAGTCTCACATCGGACAATATATGACATAAACATGTGTTTATAAGTGAGGGTAATCCTCACTCTACCAACTGATTTTATAGGATTGATTTAGGTCCAACAACATTTTTTAACAGTACAAAAGGTAAAATAATCTATTTGTCGCACGAACTCTGTTCTGGATACCCGTATAAACACGGATACCGGTGTGTTTCACATATTTTTTAAAAATGATCGATAATTTTATATTTTTTAATACTTAAATCAATAGCTTAAAATTTTCAGTTTCATATTAATGAATTTAAAATTTATTAATGTTGTATTAAATAAATTATTATTTAATTAAAAGTAATAATAATATATTTATTAATTATCTTATTATAAGCTCCATAATAAAAAACTATTCGAAAATTTTATATTTTTCAATATTTAAATTGACATCCTGTTTCATATAAAAAAAATAGGTTTGGTTTGCACCATTTATAAAAAGAATTTGAATCAATAATATATATATATATATATATATATATATATATATATATATATATATATATATATATATATATATATATATATATATATATATATATATATATATATATATATATATATATATATATATATATATATATTATTTATTTTTTTTCCTGTATATACATTAGTGAAATATTTTTTCAATCATTACTTAATTATATAAGTTTTAATAACTAATGTATTTTTTTCTCTTATTTTAATAGTAGTATTTTTTTTTCCGAGTTCACGCTAATAACACGTTTATTTCATTATTATTTTAATTTATATAAATTTTAATATGAGAATTTGGAAGAAATATGCAGCTAATCAGGAGCTATGATTTCTTCTTCCTTCGTATAAAATTTAACTTGAAAGACCATTTACATAGCTATATCACATATAGAGTTTGCTAATTTTTGAACTAGTGTCATCAGTGTCCCTAATGAATAGAGTTCAATTTATTTTAAGAGTAAATTCTTTTATTTATTTTAAATTATACCCTTTAAATTAGATTTAATATAATTTGGATAAGTTAAATAAACTTATTATTAGAATAAGTTAAACCCATATATCTATATATATATATATATATCTATATATATATATATATATATATATATATATATATATATATATATATATATATATATATATATATATATATATATATATATATATATATATATATATATATATATATATATATATTACTGACTGATTAGAACCTGAACTGGGTCAGAGACAACATTTGCGATGCTGGGTGTGAAAGATGACGAGGAGGTATACCTGCAAGACACTCTGATGTTAAAGTGAGAATCGAGAGAAAGGAAGGCAAGTACTGAGCATGTGTGTGTTAGGATGATTATCGAATACCTGACCCTCTCAAATGAGAGGGTTTTTATAGTGCCCCCGGCGTTTGGCATTGGTCTCTATTTTTGGGGCGAGATAATCGTTCCCTGAAGAATAGGTAACTGCCAGACACTAGCTGTTGGGACGGGCAGAGGTGCCCATAACTAGTTGTTGTCACGGGCATAGGCGCAGTAACGGGCATAGGCGCGGTAACGGGCATGGGCGTAGTGATTGTTTCTGGATGGTGGAATTGTGCGTGACAGGCAGAAACTGCCAAGGAGGGGCAGCTGACCCTAGTGGTCAACCGACCAACCTTCCCCGGTGGAAGGGCAGAAAGGTAAATGCTTCCTCAAGTTGGCTAGACTTAGGCAATTAGGTCGTCCCGAAAGCTGAAGTGGGTTGGGTCGTGCCTAGCCACTAGGCCAGTCTGAAACAGGAGCCCCCCAAGTCGTTGCTCCCGAGCATGGGAGTGATGACTTAAGGGTAGCCCGGAGTACCAGAGAGGATCATACATGGTCGTCGCCTGTCGTTGAGATGAGGTTGTTCCTCGGTGCTTGAGGGAGCCTGTGTTTGGGGGACCTGTAACGTTGTCTGTAACACCCCATTTAAATTATTCAGTCGCTTTGGTATTTTCTGTGAGGTGTAGTTGTGTGGTGTCCTTAATTAAGGGTATGAGGTTAGGAGTAAGGGAGAGAGGTGACCTTAGTTGGAGTATTGTGGACCTAGATAAAGGAGTAAGTTAATTATGATATCGAGAGCATTATAGTGATTAATATTATTCCAACTATTAATAATAATAATGTTAATGAGATTATCATTATTATTATTATTATTATTCGTATTAATAATATTATTTGGTGGAATATTATTATTATTCATATTATTACTATTAGTATGAATATTATTATTAGGGGGAGAATAATAATACTATTATTATTATTATTATTATTATTATTATTATTATTATTATTATTATTATTATTATTATTATTATAGGATTTAAATAATAAAATAAGAAATAAGGGATTAAAGAAAATAGAGAAGTTTTTTGGGGAAAGAGAATTAGAACACGATAAACTGCCAGAGAAAGGTTTTGGGAGAAAAAGTGAGAAGAAGAACAAGGAGGAAGAGAAGGAGGCTAGAGTTGTCAATCCTTCAAGATTCTTCAACGATTGAGCAATTAATCGAGGTAAGGGGGGAGAATGGATTTCAATATGGGTGAATTAACATGAGAGGGTAGTGAGAGGTCCTTTCTCTCATAGGAATTATGTGTTCTTGAGGATTCTTGATCTAATTTTCGTAGCATGATAAATTCCATAAAATTGTTGTTGTTCTTGAATGATTATTGTATGGGGAGTATTGCTTTTCATAGTTTTCTATGTATACCTTTCGGTATGTTGTGGTGATGTAAGGTTTAGGGATTTGGGCAAATATGTAGAAATGAATGTGTTATATCGTTATTAGTACGATGCTCTAAGGTTTCCCTAAGGTTTAGAGATTTGGGTTAATTGTGGAAAATAGGGAAGTAATCGTAAGAATTTGAGGTTATGACCAAATGGCCAAATGATATGTATCGTTGAATATTAATATAGGAAAAACTTATGGAAAATTGAACCTTTGTGGCCAAAACCTTAGATCGTTATATGTCTACCCATATGGGATAGAATATTTGATATTTGAAATTACGATGCCTTCGGAGCAATTGTAAGGAAATTGACGGTAGACCCTAGAGGTTAGTGGTTAGTATTCTTGACCCTTTGAGTGTAGAGTTGAGAAATAATGATCTTTGCCTTCGTGGCCAAAACCTTGGACTGTGATATGTTTGACCCTATAGGAATAGGAATATTCAAATGTGGGTAACTCTGAAGTACTCAGAGCAATTGCAGGAAATAGTGTTTTATGTGTTACATTGTCTGGCGGGGAGCCCAACGGTTGATGTGATCTGAAAAGGTGAAGTGTTGCGCATGCCTCGAGCCATGTGCCATATTTAATGTGTAATGATGGCTAGGCTAGGGTCATGGTGATGCCCCTAGCCACGCGTGCTTGTGCACGTGCCCATGTACCATCTATAAATAGAGGGAGAAGCTGCTCATTTGCACTTTTCATTTCTCTCTCTTTCCTTGTTCTATATTTTTATTCTCTCTCGTCTGTCGTTGTTCAACGTCGTTCGACCATCGTACGTTCACCAACCAGAGTTCTTCGACCCCAAAACTTCCTTCTTCGACCACGTAAGTACTTGAACTGATCTCTGTTGCAGGTTTTTTCACTTTCTGCTTTTTAGAATGCATGTGGTTAAGGCGAAACTAGGTAGCGTAGGGGTTGTTTTCGGTGACTGGCGGTGGTTTGGCCATTTTCCACTACTGCCGGCGTCGCTGGAGACTTAGAAGCTTAGGAATTTTAGTTGATTCTAACTCCGTTGCGACAACGGAAGCGTACGTTTCCGGTGGAAACCGTGAACTCTCGACGCACCTATGAGTTTTCAGGTGGTTTTCCAACGGAA